ACCGGCGGTGTTTTGTCTACAATCCGAAGCAGATGAATCCATGCTGCACAACCGAAGATCGCAGGACACTGCCGATGACGAGATGGAAGTGAAAAGCTGGGAAGACACTCGTTAGACTGTACAAATTTATGAGGGAACTAAGCAAACGTAAACACACCAACAGTTTCTACTCTGACCGACACAATGAACCACAGAGTTCTTAGTAAACCCTGATGACACCGATAAGCATATGCCAAAGACTTTGATCATCCGGGATCGCCTGCTACGTTGGACTACGGCCATCGACTTCGCGTCACATACGGTATGTGGCAATCCACCTGCACAACTAGTGGAATGCTTCATACACAAGTTAATAGGACCGGATGGTCAACAGGAAGGGACACGTCACATCACATCACTGTAAAATTGATAAGTAGCTCGGAGAAAGAGTGATGTTACGAGATGATTGCAACTTCCTTGTGATAAGTCATCACTGGTGCAGCCAGTCACCACGTGACCATATGGTGTGGTTTTTGTGATTTAAATTTGATTGGCGCTGCTTGATGTCTAAGTGAGCGATAATCACACTAATGATCAGCCGCTTGTGACCAAACAGATAAGTGTCCAATCACCGACCGGGTGGTGGCTTTCTGAAGCACCCAAAAATGTGAGTAGAAGAGGGCTTCGCTATGTGGTTAATGACAAAACGAAATATCTCCCAACATCGTGAGAATCCATTCACAGTAAAGTCATTTTTCGGTTTGGCAAGTCAAAAATCATGCAGTCCGTTTAAACACGACAATTCAAGTGCGTCCATCGTACATTAGTGGATTAATGGAAGGCTGCATGTCAAATGTTCGTGGTTCGGATCTCGGCACTGCCAAGGATAGGAACTGATAATGAGTTCCAAAAGAAGGTAAACTTGAGCCAAGTGCCTTCCATGTTTGATTCAAACTAACAAAAATAACTGATTCACGACAGTTCACACAAGTCTGATATGGCTGTAAATTTTACAGACTACTCGTTCGCGTACACCAAAGTAGTATACAACGATTTAACCTGTGTAAGTGATCTCCCTTTACCTACTGGTTAGAGAGAAGCCTCCTGCCAGTTTGAGCCAAGTGAATAGGCGATACGTGATTTTTACTCACGTGTAAAGGTAGCACTTTATTCTTCGCCTGTTCATCTTTTTCCAATGAAATTAACCTTGTATGTCACATGATTAAACGACACATCATGGAATCTGTGCAGTAGAAGAGTGATAACTCCATGCGACACAGATGCATACACGAGACTTCGGCTAGCGTCCGCTGCGCGAACTAAATGGCAGACCGGCAGAACCAGCGCACTTCACCAGATGCAACGTCTTTGTTCCAAAGAACACGGCAAAATGTCAACGAAGACTACAGTCATCTCCTGCTGGTTGTGTCTGATGTCATTAAAGTCACTCAGCTGTAACACCCCTTCGGTGCCCAGCTTCCAAATCACCTGAAGGAAGCACGAGGGTTGGCCCAAACCTAGACAGGAGATGTCGAGATTCAGAGGTCGGGTTCGAACCACAGACCTTCCGGTCGAGAAATTCGCCCTGTAACCACTGAACTATCTCAACTCCATTGTTGTTGGTGTACAGACTGCCGATTAGATTTTGTGTACTTCAAGAATCTTGCTGCCACCAATGCCTGAAACGAATAAGTTGCTAAACTGCATTGTTACACAATTTGTTTGGTCGCCGCTTCCTCTAAATGATCGCTTTGGACCCATCTACGCCTATAACAATCAAGATAGTACTTGAGAGCTTTTTGGACGTATTCCTAACACATGATCATGCGTCACATTTGAAGTGTGTGCATTTATTCACGCGCGCGTACGTTCGTGCATGCATATGTGTGCGTGCATACACATGTGCTTGTGCGTGCGCACGTGTGCGTGCGTACGTGCGTACGTGTGCGTGCGCGCGTGAGTATGTGCGTACGTGTGTGTGTGCGCGTGAGTACGTGCAAACGTGCATGCGTGCGTACGTGCGTGCGTGAATGCATGCGTGCGTTGGTATGGTTACAGAACACACCCACCCGGTGTGA